CCTCCTCTTTCTGTTTGCAGGTCTTCCCCAAGAGCCACATTATCAGTGCGCTCAAGACCATCTTCGAGAAGAATGTCATGAGCTTTGCTGGTGGCACCATGGGGGCAGTGAATGGCATGAGACCCAATGGGGTGCCCGACACCTCCAGTGTGCAGTCCGACGAGGTGTGGATCGGCGTGGTCTACGCCCTGGCTGCCACCATGATCCAGGAGGTGAGTGGTGATGCTGCGCCCCCCAGTACCTGCGATCTCCTTGTACTTTGTGGATCTGCTCATGGCCTTCTTCCCTTCTGCCGCAGGGGTTGGTGGAGGAAGGCTTTCATACGGCGGAAGGCTGCTACCGGACGGTTTGGGAACGGCTGGGCATGGCTTTCCAGACACCGGAGGCCTATCGGGAGAAGAAAGTCTACCGCTCGCTGGCATACATGCGGCCTCTCAGCATCTGGAGCATGCAGCTGGCCCTGGAGCGCAGAGCTGACCAGACACCAGCACCTGCACATCCCCAGCAGGTCCCCATCCACCCCTGAGCCCGGTGGCACTGAGCAGGGCAGCGGGTGCACCAGGGGAGCTGGGGCAGCCTCAGCTGGTGGGCAGGGACCCTTCCCTCCCTCTCTTTGATAATACTCACATTGCTGTTTCCCTTCCCTACCTCCACTACATGCCCTTCACCTCAGAGGGCTTCCAGCCACCAATGCTGAGCACAAGGAGGGGACCAGAGGTGTGAGTGCTGTCTCCTCAGAGAGGACAAGGATGGGATAAGGAGGTGCTGCTGGAGCCTGTGCCTCCTCTTCCCCTTTGCTCAGGGCTCTGACAGCCTGCAGGACCCCCAACCATCCTTCACCAGAGGTGGTGCCCAGGAGCACAGGAGACCTCTCTCCTGCAATCAGTGGGCTGGGTAAGGTGGGAGCTGGCCTGCAGGGCGAAAAGCTGTGTGTGTGTATGTGTGTGTGTGAGGACATTGGACTGGTGCATGCAGGCACGTGGATGCTGTGGCTGTCCCTCCATTGTGTGACACTGCAAATGCAGACTGGCTCTGCCCCAAGCCACCAGCCCCAGGAGAGCCTGTGGCAGATACAATCCCACAAAAAAAACCTGTGACAATCGAAGCCCAAGCAGCAGGTCCTGGTCTGGTACCGTGGCACCCCTCCCTGCTGGCGCCGGGGGCGGGCAGCGGAGCATGTTTTAGGGGATGAATCATTTTAAGTTCTTAATAAATTTATCCAGCTGTCTCTCCTTCTTGTGTGTCTTCTCTGTCATGGGGGCAAGCTGGAGGAGGGAGCTCCCTCTTCGTCCTGGGATGGTATGCAAGGCTGGGAATGCAGAGGGGGCAAGCCCTAATTGCTGACTGGCTCTGTGGGGTTTTGCTGAGGGGAACAAGATCTGTCTTGCCTGAGATGTGATGGCAGGAGAGATCCTGCCCCTTGCTTTCTCTTCTTCTGCCTGCAAGGCATCTTCTCCTGCCTGCAAGGCAGGGTAAGGCGAAGGGCCTGACACTGCTTCTGAATGTGCTTCTGTGGGGAGCAGCGGTGTCCCAGGGCTGGCCTTTGACCGCACCCTGTCCCATCTGGCTCAGGGCTGGTTGCCTTCCTTCGTTTTCCTCCTTTCTCTGCCAGCGCAGCATTTGAAGACTGCACCTGCCTGGTTTCCAGGGGATGGGAAAGGATCCTGTCCCCAGGTTTGGCTACAAGGACTTTCTGCCCAGGGGCATCGCTGCGGTGGCCAGTGCTGCCAGTGGGTGATAAATGATCTTTTCTTCTTCTCCCCTGGGGAGCGTTCCTGCATCCCTCTGGGCAGAGGAACAATGCTATCCGGGAAGGGCAGATTGTCCCGGATGTGGCCCCACCGGACCAGTTGGTGTAGAGCTCCCATGGCAGAGCCCACGGCTGCTGGAGAGGGACTGAGATGCTCTCCCTTAGGGTCACTGTGACGAGGGTGGAGGGGACGGGGCTGCCAGGACACCAGTGTGGCTCACCTGGACAGCACACCTGCATTTGTGTTGTGTTGACAGCCACCGGGGACTGTGACGTTCACATCCCGCTGGCAAGGCACAAAAGCAGGTGTTGAAGCCAGCACAGCTTCTGACCAGGCTGGGCTTTATTGCTGCGGCCCGTCAGCATTGCTCCTTAATCCCTGGCAATAGGCTGTCCACAGACTTTCTTTCAAAAACTGGGGCATTCAGTCTGTATGAAGGTATATTTCTTCTCTTTCCTCCTCTTTTGACTGTATTACATCAATAAAACTTGAATGTGACAGGCTCAGCTTTCAGCATGGGCATGCCTGCAGGCTGGGAGGACAATCTGTGGCTACCGATATGTTTTTCGCTGACATTTTCCTGTACTGCTCTTTTCCAAGGCTGACTCAATCCCAGATTAAGCAGCAAGTTTAATTACTCACTAACCCTTTCTCCATATTATTCATTAGCCCTTTCTTGATCCCTCACACAGCAGAGGTTTAAACCACAGCTCTGCCAACTTTAAACTCCTTCAGCACTTTCTGCTTTGGACTTTGCTGCCTGCCTGTTCCCCCTTGCCTGCTCCCGGCTGCACCAGGGCTCAGGCATGGCATCGCTGGATTTAGCTGTGGTAATGATTGCCAGTCCCGAGGCACTTCACTGGCTGCCCTTTGGAGGATGCAAACCCTGAGGAGATATCCCTTGTTTTATTTTCAACTTGGCTGAGACAGATCAACAAATCCACCTCCTTGAGCACTGAGCTGATTGCTGCACCTGCAAGATACGCTGCTGGGCTAGTGATGATCAAAACCAGGATAAATACAGATTATGGGCAGACAGCACCAATATTGTTTGTATGATGTTAAAATAAACCAGCAGCTGTAAATGAGCTGTGTGTTGCTATCAGCGTGGAGACCTTGTTTTGCCCATTCCCATGCCCACCAGTGGCCATGGGGTCCCTGTGGGAACTGCCTGAACCAAGGCGATAACGAGGGGGTGATAGGAAGGTGGTGTGAATGAAGGGGAGGCAACGGCTTCCGCTCCTGTCCCCTGCAGCCTTCCCAGACCGACCTTGCTCATTATCACAGACCTCAGCCACGCTCTGGACAACACCTGCCTGCTGAAAAAACAGCCGAAGCAAACAGCAGCCATGGGAAAACACCTCCTTGTGCAGCGAATTTCTGAGGCAGAGGGAAGCAAAGACAGAGGCAGGAATTTCCCACAGGCAGCCGGCTCTTGGGCTGGTGAGCTCCTGCAGGCAGGGGTGCAAGGTGACTGTGGGGCTCCTGCAAAAGAAGAGGAGGGCATTGCAGAAATGCAATTGTCCCCAGTCTGGTTAGTGACTAATTTTACTGTTGGAGAGAAACCGGGGCTCAAATGTGAGATTAAAGGGAATGCAAACTTTTGGAAGTTATTGCTGAGATGTTAGCATGACAATGAGCTCCCCCCACAACCTGGCATTTATTTCCCGTAACCCTGCTCAAGCAATATCCAGCAGTGGATCATAATGGATATGCCTGATCGTGATCCTGAGTCTGGTTAAAGTGGCTTCAAGGGAGACAGATAACAAAGGGTTCATTTGGGCAATGTGCCCCCCTAACCATCTGTACCACCTACCATCTCTATTTAGTATGCAAATATGACTACAGAGTCAATCACCTTACCCCATAAATAGTGAGCAGCCCTTTGAGATCTTCTGCACGACAGGGCCTCCCCTAGACTAGGGATCCCTCTGAAGGTTACCCTGCCTTAGAGATCCCTTGATCCCCGATACTGAAGGACTCCTTGTCACAGCAGCTCCTCAGTAAATGACTAATAGCTTGCTAAGCTTTGTAAACTGGGCTAAGATTATGTATTTGATTGTGCACATATTAATCCTCTAGGCACATATTAATCCTTTAGGCGTGAACCACTGGTCAAGTCTGGGACTGGGATTGGATCCAGCCACACCTAGACTCCTCTGAGCAGGAGTTTAGAAAAGGGGTCTGCTCTGAACCTCGTGGCTCAACAGGGGTTGCTCCCCAGCGCATCTGACTTGCCCTATCCTCTATTCAGTAAATGATAAAGCATATACTGCCATCGAGTCTTCTGAGACCACTGTCACATTTACTATCAAAATTTGTTAAATCACTGTTTCCGATCAATAAACATATTGCTGGTACTCTCTTGCGAGTGAAGTTGTGCAGCAGTTGCGAATGGGGACCTTGTCCCCATTTTAAGTAAAGGACCATTTCCTGGTAAATAGGCATTCATCAGCTCTTGCTGGGACGCCTAGTGGAATGAAAACACTCATATTATAGCAGACTGCCTTGAAAATCATTGAGAAATGGGTGAGAAACTCTGGTGTGAACCAAGCCACATCAGCCTTCCTGGCAAGCAGCAACTGTGATGCAAGGGGAATTAAATACATATGTACTTAAAAATATTAAGAATCCCTGTGCAAATACAATTTTTGTCAGCATTAAAATGCAACATCCAAGATATTCAAGGAATGTTTGTTTTTCATAAACAAAATAATTTCCTTCCAGCAAAAGCCAGCTTGTAGAAACAGCAACAAACCTGTGTCAGCCCCAGGCAAGAGGACACTGGGTACCTTGTACCCTGATCTGTGGCTGCATCAGTACCTGGGGAGGGAGGGATAAAGCAAAATCCCAAAAGCAGCCCATACGTTGTGAGTTTGCATGAAGTTGCCTGGTGAGGAGGAGCAGGGTGAGGTGGTGTACTGTGACCAGTCTTGGGGTTAAGTCTCTTTGGCACCCCCGTGATGTGGCAATTGAGTAGTTTTCCCTGACTGAGCATCCCTGCAAGGTGCCAGGGAACTATGAACAAGGAGGGACGGTTACAGCAGGCACTTCTGGGAATCTCAGTCTGTAACCACCCTCCTGTACAGCTGGGAACTGCAAATTCGGAAACACCCAGATTTCGCAATGCCCTGGCCGGAGGTGCCACCCGCAGCCCTGGCAGCAATAAAAGGGGAGCGAGCAGGCGCATCGACAGAGACCTACGAGGAGCACATCCCTAGGTACAGCAGCTGTCTGCTCACTGCAGAGATGGTGCAAGCGACTCCCTTCCTCCTGGTGCTCAGCCTGGCCCTGCTGGCTCCCGGGCTTTCTGCAAGAAAGGTAAGGGCAGGGCTGGGATGCATGGGGCAGGGTGGGCAGGGAAGGCTGCATCTGCTGAGGATGCCCTCTCTCCTGCCTCCCTGCTTGCACCTGGGCTGTGCTGTGGCACTAAAACTGAGTCCTCTCCTCTCCAGTGTGATCTGACTGGGCTCTGGGTCAATGACCTGGGCTCCAATATGACCATTGCGACTGTGAATGGAAAAGGCAACTTTGCTGGCTCCTATCACACGGCTGTGACAGCCTCCTCGAACAAGATCCAGGTGTCACCGCTGCAGGGGTCCCAGAAACTCTCAAGCCAGAAGAGCTATCCCACCTTCGGCTTCACTGTCAACTGGAGCTTTTCAGGTACTTCTTGCTTTTCAGACCCCTGCAGTGTGCCCAAAGCTCCCTTGCCTGCCTTGTGATGTCAGTGATGCTTTTCTGTCCACCTCTCCAGTGTCCTTGATGGTGCCCTGCCTTCCTCTTTGGTGTTCCCAATGCTTTCTCATCCTCTGATGCTCCCTCATCCTTGATCTCCTTGGCTGCTGTCACTTCCCAGTCCCAGGGCACAGAGGATGCACTGGGGGCTGAAACCCACTGTGGTCTTCCCATCTCCATGTGAGACCCTCAGCCTTCTGACCCCTTCTGCCTGCTTCTCCCATCATTGCCGGCCCCAGAGGGCAGGGACAGCCCAGCTCTACTGTTCCCTGTGGCAGGCTGCAGGGCCATGACTCAGCACTGACTTGCCAACCCGGTCACTCTCATCTCCACCTCCATCCCTGTCCCTGCAGACTCTGTCACCGTCTTCACGGGCCAGTGCTTCATGGATGAGAAAGGAGAGGAGGTTTTGAAGACCACATGGCTTCTGCGGTCACATGCGGACAACATTAACGACGACTGGAAATCCGTCCTGTGAGCCCAGTCCCTGTCCCACATTGGTCCCTCCCCCCCCCCTGGGTCCTCACCAGCCGGCACAGCTGCTGACAGTGCAGGGGTGATGGAGGATGGGGCACTCATGCAGGGCCTCCCTGGAGGTCCTGCCAAAGTGCAAATGTTGCTGGGGGTGGAATGGGGCTGGGTGGGCATTCAGGACTGGGAGGGTGCATTTGTCCCACGCAAGGTTGCATTTTGCACCCTTACAACTCCTCCCTCTGTGTTCCTGCAGGGTCGGCACCAACGTCTTCAAACGCCCGCAGCTGCGGTCACGGAAGGAGTGAGAGTGGAAGCACGGGGGTGCAGATCTGCAGCAGCATTGGGCTCCCCCTCCTGTCTCACCCAATA